CGGGGCTCGATCCCAGGACCCTGGGATCATGACCTGAGCCGAAGGCAGACGCTTAACGACTGAGCCACCCAGGTGCCCCTCTTTAGTAGCATTCTGAAGCAACACTGTGTGTATGTGTGTAGGGAAGGTATTTTGAAAATGCTAAATTGAGTTTTTTGTTTTCATTTTTAGGTTTTTTTTTTTTTATTCTATTGTCTTCTGTCATTGATTAACTTGAAAGATTGTCAGTTTTATTCTTCTTTGAAGATAAGGTGCCTTTTTGTTCAGGTGGCTTTTAAGATCTTCCCTCTGTGTTGGCTTTCAGCAGTTTTACTATGATGTGCTGGGGTAGTCCGCCTCTGGGATGGACGCGGATAATCCCTGCCTTCTAGTGTTCACGCTCTTGTGTGATCTCTTCTTGAGTGTGGGGTGGGTTTATTGATTTGCTTCTGATGAATAGAATATGGCAGTGATTATTTCTTTTTGATACCTTTACAGATTTTTTTTCACAGCACTTTATATAAAGTTTCTGATTGATCCAGTGGAAGGGTTACTCTGATATAGCTATGCCCACAGGGTGAGCTTAATTGTATATAGAACTAAAGAGAATTTTTTGTCTTCTTGGAATGCTGTTACAGAAGCAGCTCTCTTAGCCCACCTCCAAATAGTGACTTGCTAAGTGAAAGGCTACTGTCCTGCGAGGCGTATGACTGATGCTTAGAGCACAAAACACTTATTTTCAGACATTTTCTTGTGTGTGCTTCTGCAGCTGTCACCAGGTAAATGTGCATTTATCAGTCATTTTTAGAGATGTTTTGCCTGTCATAATTATTTTTATAATTACGTGTCTTTGTTACATAATATAAAAATTGATGGCAAAGGATTTTTTCCATGAAAACTTACTTAAATTCTTTTGAAAGACCACATAAATGAATTGATAAAACAATTGTTGGTAAATTGGTTGTGTGTAATCAAACTATAAAACACTGAAGAAAGAGCTCATAAAAATCCAGGTTTCTTTAATGAAATTATTTTTCAGGAGTCCACATTCTTGCTTCATCTTAAAGAGACTGAAATTGAAAATAATGCCATATTAAATGAGTGCAGTTCGTGCAAGAAAGAAGTGGGGAGCTCTCATGCATCAGGATATTTGTGAATAAATACATTCATGCTTTAAGTTAAAATAAAGTACTTAAGTTATGTATTTGTCCTGTGTTATGATTTCTGCTTTACCTGGCCTTTTGAAATAACTGAACCAATTTCTGTTCTGACTACATCCTTTTTTTTTTTTAAGATTTTATTTATTTATTTATTTATTTATTTGTCTGTTTGTTTAAGAGAGGGAGAGAGAGAGAGAACACAAGTGGGCAGAGGGGCTAGCAGACTCCCTGCTGAGTGGGGAGCCTGACCAGGGAGGATCCCAGGACCAAAGTCAGACACTTAACTGACTGAGCCACCCAGGCCCCCACTGACTGTGTCTTAAAAGAGGACTTCATCTATACTTCTAAATACTGAAGGGTGTTTCATCCTGCCTTATTACAAAGAATTTGGCTTTTTAATTGAGTAATTTACATAATTTTCATTTTAAGTTATGTTTTAGGTATTAGCATTAATTCAAATCCATAAATTAATATGTTTATTTACTAAGAACATAAAAGGCCTTTTTAGATTGAAATACTCAGCCAGAACTTAAGCAGAGAACAGGTAATTATTTGGTGACTCTTGCTCATTTACTAGCAACTTCCATAAATTATACAGATTGTTTATCTGTATATAAAAATACCAGATAGTTGTGTTTTCTTCTGTTTATTTTATATTTATAAACCAAGATGGGAGTCAAGCTTTTTTTATTAAACATTTATGCTGTGTCTGCTATGAACAGGTCTATCAAGACAAATAAGATACATTCCTGTTTTGCAAGGAGATTATAGTTCAGAGAGCCACTTTGTTAAACAGTTACAGCAGAGTCAGAAGGTGCTTTGTGCTTTTTTCTGAGTGTAAATCTGCACATTTAAAACCAGCCCTTTTGTATGATGATATGATTAAATTTTAGTTTTTAAATATGTGATCTCTTTAACCTCTGCTCTTACATTTACCTCAAGGGTCAGGAGGAGACAGGAGGAGTCATTGACATTGGTTAAAGCTTTAACAAATTTGGAAAAAAAAACACTGATATTCAGTACTTTTGTATGATTCTCATAGTACTGTACTTTTTCTGGTCCTGTAACTTTACTTCTAGAGTGCCTTCACACCTAGTCTCTCATAAAATCAGAGCTTCTGTTTCACCAGTTAACTTCATATAGATAAAATCTTTATTCTTGGAATGTGATTTGTTCATTCTGGCTTACTGTAGCACAAGTCCAAATATTTTTCTCCTATGCAAACATACTATAGGCATTAGGTCTTGGTGTGTGGGATCCTCAGCCTGTCACAGATTTCATTATGCCATCTGCTTCAACCTGAGTGGTGTATCTTCTGCTGGCAGACTTTATTGAAGTTGCCATGGCGCAGGATAAAAAAAAAAAAATCAAGTTTGGCATAAGGAGCTTGCTTTTGAAAAAATAATAATTGATCATGCCTGCTGTAGATTTTAAAATAACCATTTGAAAGAATTCCCAAAACCCTCTTCTCAACACAATGATCTCTCTTCATCGGTGATTGTAGATAGCCAATATAAAATAAGCCAATATAAGTTGGATTATTGGTAACCTCATTAACTTAACTGAGTCTTCTGTTTAGTTTTAAGGACAGGTAACAAACTCTTAGGCATGGATTGGTGATGTGTTGTAAAATATTTTGATTGCTCTGTCAATGTAAATTTTACCTAATGCCTTATTCCCAGAGATGATACCTCAAGTGACTGTTTTGTGTATAGTACAAACATAAGAACGCCATGATGAAAAAATCCTGGTCATAATCTACTTATTAGATGTGTGACTTTGTGTAATTTTGTCATCTGAAAAATGGAAATAATGGTAGTGGGGGGGGTTGTTGGGGAAATGAAATCAAAGTAGATCCCTAAGAAAATAAACACTTGTTCTGCAAATGTATATTGAATGCCAACTCTGTGCAAGGCACTCTTATAGAGAATGAAGGATATAAGAGAGAATAAAATAGTCTAATTCCTCCACTGGGGAATTCTACATTCTAGTCTGTCCACACAGATTTGGATGGACACTCCATGACAACAGGGTCCATGGCAAGTGCCAAGAAGAAAAACAGAACAGGGTAAGCTCATGGAGCATAATGGTGGGGTGCTGTCTTGGGTAGGGTTGTCAGGGCGGGCTTCTCTGGCATAAAGTTGAGCACACCTGATTGAAGTAAAGCAACAAACATGTAGATGTTGGGGAAGGATGTACGTGGCTGATAGAGTGAGCAGTTTGGTTTGAGGAACTGTGAAGGGGTCAGTAGGGCTCGATCCTGCTGGGTGAAGGACATAGTGCAGGAGATGAGTTCAGAGAGTGATCCAAAGTCATCATTGATGTACTCTTTCTGACAAAAATTGTGGGTAAAAAATTACAGTACAGACACCCTACAGAAATGGGAAATTATTTAGCTTTAACTTGGTGCTCTGTATAACAGGCACATACAAGTAATCATAGAATGTTTTTTTCCAGAATGGAATGATCTTTTTTGTCATTGTTGTTACTTACTTATGTCATTGTACCCGGAGTTAGTCAAATGGCAACGCTGGAGGGTACAATCCTCCAGACTTCCAAGTCTGTTGGGAGACTTTTGACACCAACAGCAAAGAGTTAAGTTCGAACTATGAAGTTAGAGGGAAGAATCCACAAAAGACCACCCTCACTTCTGAGCTGAACTGCAAGTTCTGGATGTTCCCCAACCCTCCTCAGGTTCAATAATTCAGTATAAGGACCTACAGAACTTACTAGAAGCTTTTCTACTCATGCTTACGGTTGATTATAAAGAAAGGATACAGGTAAAAAATCAGCCAGAGGAAGAGACACATAGTGCAGCCTGAGGATTTCAAATATGAAGCTTCCATTTTCCTCATAAAGTGTTTCCTTTTCAGAATTGATGTGTAACAGTATGTATGGAGTGTTGCCAATCCAGGAAGCTCACCTGAGTTTGGTGTTCAGAAACTTTATTAGGGTATCGTTTCATAGGCATGACTGACTGCCTATGTGATTTAACTTAGTGTCAGTTTGGGGCTGATATCTTGTGGCCTTGAAGCCCACCATGAATATCTGGAAACTCCAAGGGTTTAGAGGTTACTTCCTAGGAGCTGGGGGTAAATGTCAGACCTCTCTTCAGGAAAGACCAAATTCTTTTCTTTTAAGATCTTATTTATTTATTTGACAGAGAGAGACACAGCGAAAGAGGGAACACAAGCAGGGGGAGTGGGTGAGGGAGAAGCAGGTTTCCCGCGGAGCAGGGAGCCTGATGTGGGGCTCGATCCCAGGACCCTGGGATCATGACCTGAGCCGAAGGCAGATGTTTATGACTGAGCCACCCAGGGGCCCCAGGAAAGACCAAATTCTTTACTACATATATTGTTTTAAAAATTCAAGAATATAAAAGATTAAATGGCCCTCTGTCTCTCAGGGACAACTAATGTTATATTGGTTGGTTGGTGTATATTCTCCCAGACGTTTAATACAAATATAAACATCTTTTTTGAATGTGCATTGTGTCGTACTGTACACATTGGTTGATAACTAGCCTTTTTCACTTTTGTGTGTATGTGAATGTGTGTTTGTGTGTGTTTTAATGAGTACCTTAAAGGTGAACACTGGAGGTAGGTTTTGAAATTTTTCCCATCTAATAAACAATGCTGTATTGTGCATCCTTATACATATATCTTTGTGTGTTATTCTCATTTTTCTCTTTGAAATTAATTTGCTAAATCAAAGGGTATGGGAATTTTGAAATTTCATATGTACTTCATTATTACCGCTGGGGATGTTTTCTGTGAAATTGTTTATGGAATGTCAAAATTGTTAATAATCTTCATATTGCTCTTAGGTAAACACTGCAACATTGGCAATTTCAAATGTCGAATATGCTCACATTCCACATCTCAGTCCAGCTGTAATTCCTACTCTGCAAAATGAATTGTTCTTATCATCCTCAAATAATGGGAATCTGGAAGCATTTACAGGATCTGGTACTCCACACATCAATGGGAAACCTGCTTGTGATGAATTTGATCAACTAATCAAGAATATGGCCCAGGTAAGAACATTTCTTCTTGTTAGTTATGATAGAACAGTGTAAACAAGTCCTGAATAATTGGAAGAATATGTATATGTTTACATTACATTATATAAATATATAATATATATGGTTAAATATATTTATGAGGACATTTATAACATCCGAAAAAATTGAGATGGAAAAGAAGTGGATTTTGTGTGAGTTTGGATGGTTCAGAAATTTTTCTATTTATTTATTTATTTATTTATTTTTATTCTTCAGGATCAATAATAAAATACGTCACTCTAGGTGATGCATGATAAATGTTATCTGAGAAAATTCTTTTAAATTTTTTTTTTTAAACTCAGTAATGCCACTAATAAGATAACTGTGAATGGAGTGATTAACGTTTAATTAAAAGTTATTTCTTGCTTTGTTTCCTGAACAGGGTCGCCACATAGAAGTTTTTGAGCTCCTCAAACCTCCATGTGGAGGTCTTGGGTTTAGTGTTGTGGGACTCAGGAGCGAAAACCGGGGAGAACTGGGAATATTCGTGCAGGAGATCCAAGAGGGCAGTGTGGCCCACAGGTATGATTCTTATGACGTCTTCTCCGTTTCTGATACTGTATTCAGAAGGTGTTGATGACCTTGGGAGAATTTAGAGAAAGAAAATGGATAAAAACTGAAATGTAATATAATCTGTTATTAATCAGTTTTTAGAAATCTTTAACATCACTGTGATAAAAAGCAAGTCCTCGGAAGGGAGAATGTCTTTTAAATATGGTCATAAACATTTTTTAGGAAGGAAAGGAGAATTTGAGTAGGACATTATTCTCATTATCATTAAATGGGCTCATTTTGATCGGATTTAAAAGTTGCAATATAGAATAAGTATACAAATGACCCATGATAACTTGAGCTATATTTTATTAATATACTCACAACAACAACTAAATGTATACACCTTTGCTTTTATTTGTAGTAAATAGGAACATCTAAGACAAAACATATAGGTTGAGTGAGTAGCTGTAAAGAAGGTGGCTTTTAAATGGGAGGGATTGATTAGGGGTAGATAACTAGAGCCCAAACTTAACATTTTCAAAAGTAAAATTGCAGGGAAAAGCTTAAAAAGTGTGGACATTAGAAAACTGGCTTAAAAATAACCTGAAAATATATGCAAAGAAGCTGTCATTTTCTTGAGAGCTGTCAGATGTCTTTTACTCCTTTTTTCATTCCTGATAGAGATGGAAGATTGAAGGAAACCGATCAGATCCTTGCTATCAATGGACAGGCACTTGATCAGACAATTACACATCAGCAGGCTATCAGCATCCTGCAGAAAGCCAAAGATAATGTCCAGCTAGTTATTGCCAGAGGCTCATTGCCTCAGCTCATCAGCCCCATAGTTTCCCGTTCTCCATCTGCAGCCAGCACAATTTCAGCTCACTCTAACCCTGTAAGTACATAAGATTTGTAAAAGGGACAGATATTATTTTTCTAGTCCTTTTTGGTTGTCTACAGATTTCCATTTCCTGTAGGTCCTTGTATTTCTTGAGTTTTTCCCATTTTATTCTTTTATCTCTCCCTAGCTTGGAATATTAGTTATTTAATTACGATTAAGTTACTGCCTTCTAAATCAACTTTTACCTTTCTTTGTGTATTCTTCTAGTTGACCACATTCCTCAAAAAAAAAAAAAAATTCAGTTTTTCAACAAACCTGACTCTATCTTTAGACAGAAAATAGTCTTGATTTTGCTTTATAAATTACAGAATTATACTGTTTGAGTTAGCTGTCAGTGACTTCAAGGAGTCCTCTAATTAGAAATCCTGTGAGGCAAGATTTTATAGAAGATAATCTTAACAGGTGATGATTTCTCCTTGATCTTTTTCTTTTTTTAGAAGTTCTACAAAGGGTCTTACAAATCAGTGCCTATCTTCAACTGGTTAAATGCGGTCACTATAAAGATGTATTGATAATTTCAAGAATGATTATATCAATAGCAGTAACAATCTGTTGAAAGGGAATTACACTAAATCAAAGGGACATTCTTAAGGCTTGTTATTATATCTGAACTCCATTATTTGATACCAATCACAAAATAATATTCACAAAAATCTCAACTATAATAAAATTTTAGTTTTTCCACCAAATTTTTTCAAAGTCATATAGGAGTTTTGTTTTCAGGTTCACTGGCAGCATGTGGAGACTATTGAACTGGTGAACGATGGATCTGGACTGGGATTTGGCATCGTCGGAGGAAAAGCAACTGGAGTGATCGTAAAAACCATTCTGCCTGGAGGAGTAGCTGACCAGGTAAGCTGCTCCAACAGGTGTTTTATGCTGTTTTATCAAATTATATGCCTTCATCTTTTATATTTTCTGTTAGAAAGAAGAAACTTTGGCCTTACATAATGTCAAAGAAGCTGAGTTAGAACTTCTGTTTTGCTGGGCTTTTCCTGAAGTGTTTACTTTTAGCCCTCGGAGAAAGATCTTTGAAGAGGGACATTGATCTTAAGTTACAATTCTATTTATTTTTTTAAAGATTTATTTATTTTAGAGAGAGAGAGAGTGCAACGGGGAGGGGTAGAGGGAGAGAGAATCTCAAGCAGACTCCATGCTGCGCACAGAGCTGGATGTGGGGCTTGATCCCAGGATCCTGAGATCATGACCTGAGCCGAAATCGAGAGTCAGATGCTTAACCAACGGAGCCACCCAGACACCCCTTAAGTTACAGTTTTAGGCAATGATCTTAAGACTCTTGTAGAGCCACAGACTAAAGCCCAGGTTATGGTTTTGATCATTGTAGAGGTAGCTACCCTTTATTTTATGATCATAAATCATATTTATAAACCTAGTCTGCTGTTTTATAGTCACAAGGTATTATGGAAAGAAGAATACTTTATTATTGAGAGAAGAAACAAGATTCGACTTGTCCCTTTAGTGATGGTGTCATCTTTGTAAATGAAGCACAGCCTATTTTTATCACTCGGAGTAGTTTGTTAAAGCGTTGCCATTATGCTCTGTGACACTGTTGGAATATATGTGAGAAAAATTGTTGTAAAGTTACTGGTTATGATTTATATTTTAATTTGAAAAGTTCTATATTTTAATTTGAAACTTTTGCTTTGGTTGTAACGTTTTGTTTATAAAGTTGTCTGTTTTTGCATGTGTGTTTGAATTTAAACTAGAAAGTCAGTTTATCAAATATTTCTCATATTCATATATGAAAAGCCTGTTTAATGGCAGCTTTATCAGTAGAGGTATTGACAGTAGCACAATAATATGCATATTTTCTTCCTTTTAAATAATAGCCAGCCTTTAACAGTATTTAATGAAATTCCCCTAGTTGACTGGTTTGCTATAAATTAAGCCTTGTCTTCAGTACAGACTTGCACCGTCTAACACTATAGCTACTTGTAGCTACTTGCTACTTCTAAAATTCAAATTTAATCAAAATTAAATAAAATGAATGCCTGGGGTGCCTGGGTGGCACAGTCAGTTAAGTGTCCGACTCTTGGTTTCAGCTCAGGTCAGATCTCTTGGGTCATGAGATCAAGCTCTGAGTCGGGCTCCACGCTTAGCACAGAGTCTACTTAAGATTCTCTCTCCCTGTCCCTCTGTCCCACCCCCCCACCCCCGCTCAAGCTCGCTTTCTCTAAAGTAAATAAAGAAAATTTAAAAAATTAAATAAAACGACGAATTCAGTTCCTTAGTTGGATTGAACACATTTCAGGTGCTCTGTAACCACATGTCAGTAGTAACTGCCATATTGGATGATGCAGAACATTTCTGTCCCTGCAGAAATTTCTAGTGAATAGTGCTCGTATGGAGGATAATAAGACTCATCCATCTAAATTTTCATCTGAAAATTATTCTTTTAGGGATATTTTTAATTGAAAGTGCAAGACAGAAATGTATTAATTCACTGCTTTTTTGTGGTCTTTCTATATTTTTTGAGTAATATGTATTTGCATATGCTTCATCTTTGCTTAGTGGCATTTTCTTTTTTTTTTCTATTTCTCAAAAAACTTATAAAAGGCTTATTATTTTCCTGTATATAATGGGTAGAAATCAAATTGAAAAGCTCTTATCAGCTGTTGATTTAAGGAATATTTGTGAATTTCAGTTACTTGTATCACATTGAATAATGTTAAGATGCATCAAAAACAGTTAAAATAACAACCACATGGTTAATGTTCCGTGATTGATAATGACATTACTATTTTTAAATTATTCTCTTTCCCTCATTTAGGATTTCTCTGACGAACTTAAAATATTAGTAGCCTGATTAACTGGTCTCTTTTTCAGCATGGGCGACTGTGCAGTGGAGATCACATTCTAAAGATCGGTGACACGGACCTAGCAGGAATGAGCAGTGAGCAAGTAGCACAAGTGCTCAGGCAATGTGGAAACAGAGTTAAACTGATGATCGCAAGAGGGGCCGTAGAAGAACCAGCAGCACCCTCCTCTTTGGGCATCACCCTTTCCTCATCCCCATCTTCTACACCAGAAATGCGGGTAAGTAGGTAGAAGCAGTTACTAGGAACCTCATAGACAATAGCATTTAGATGATAGTGCTGTTTAGAAACTAGACTTAAGGGTGCCTGGGTGGCTCAGTTGGTTAAGCGACTGCCTTCGGCTCAGGTCGTGATCCTGGAGTCCCGGGATCGAGTCCCGCATGGGGCTCCGTGCTCGGCAGGGGGTCTGCTTCTCCAAATGACCCTCCCCCCTCTCATGTGCTCTCTGTCTCTCATTCTCTTTCTCTCAAATAAATAAATAAAATCTTTAAAAAAAAAAATTAAATTAAAAAAAAAGAAACTAGACTTAATGATACTCATTCATATATTGGTGCTAAAGAAAGAAAATTCAAGTGTAGATGTGTTTCAGCACTAATAATATCTTCTTAATTAGGAATCATGTGTAACATGAAAAATAGGTTTCTTTAAAAAATTCTAGGTTACTCTTTTACATCTTTCTCTAAGCAGCACGTTTATGAGGATAATCTTTTGCAAGATGATAAAATTTTAAGGAATTATTTGCTACTAATAACTAAAATGTTTAATTTTATTTTTCTTCTATCTAGAAGGCTCTCCGTTAGGCAGGCTGTGAGTTCCATCATTCTCTTTCAATACCTTTCCTTTTAGTGTCTTTTTTGGGGGGGAGGATAGGGGTGGGAGTATCAACAAAATAATTTTATCCAAAAATCTCTTAAAGCTTTAAAAACAGAATTACATCCAATTTCTGGATAAGCTTTATAGCAAATGCAAGTCCTGCATTCCTTTTTCATAGATCTAAAAACATCTATGATATTTTTCTGTTAAAGTTTTTTCTAATTAGTTGCTACGGATTCTTTTTTAATAGCCTAACCTCCTCTACAAGCCCTTTAAAACTTTATTAGAACACTTGAAATTTCCATGATTCTGTTGTTTTAGGCTTGAGTTAGTTGCTATTTTTTGCAGAGAAAAAGAAGTAAAGAAAGAAAGCTTGTGTATGAAAGTATTTAAATCACATTCTTTTGTGGTAAACAAAACATTTTATTCAGCAATATATAAATGAATGCAATACCGAAAACCACTTGATGTAATTGAAAGCTTAGAAAAATATCTATTCTGTGCATATCATCATTTCTGAAGCTTGTGCCCCTTTTAAAACCATTCGATAGTCAAATTGCCACCCTCTAAAATAGCACTCGCATAAGTCTTATTAAAAATAGAAAACACATTTGTTTCAATTGAAGCAGATTTCATCCTGTCATTTTCTTGTAATTATCTAAACTTTAAACTTTTGCTAAGTTTGCACAGATAATTATGTGCAATGAAAAAAAATAAATCAAACTTTACTATAAAATTGTATCTCACTTAGATGGACTATCAGTGAGATATAGTCAGAGTTTGCTTAAAGAAAATAAAAAAAATATTACCAGCTAGCCCCAACCTGTATGTCCATCCGAACCTTCGTTCTGTTATGATTTTTGTAGGGTTCTCTGGGGAATCTGCTGGTACCATACAAGTACATAATGCCAGAAGCTTGCTGATGACTTACTGCGCTAGTCCACTAATGCTGAATTCAGAGAACCTTGCCCTTCAGCCCAATGTGTAATTAAGAATAGTTTTACGTGTGGGGCACCTGGGTGGCTCAGTCGGTTGAGCGGCTGCCTTCGGCTCAGGTCGTGATCCTGGGGTCCTGGGATCGAGCCCCACATCCGGCTCCCTGCTCGGCGGAGAGCCTGCTTCTCCCTCTCCCTCTGCCTGTCACTCTGCCTACTTGTGCTCTCTATCTATCTGTCAAATAAATAAATAAAATCTTTAAAAAAAAAAAAAAAAGAATAGTTTTACGTGTTAGAGGAGCCTGCTTTCAGCTGTCTTTTCAGGAATGAAGATCAATGCAGAAAGGCATGCTTTCCTTATAAAGAGCTTCTAAGTTAAAGTCTGAATTTACAAAACAAATACAGTAACAATTTTAAATAGCTCTTTGTTGCATTTCACAGGTTTTCAAAATCATCATCAGTGTATTAATAAAATGTCTGGAAGATAGATGAACTCCTATTCCTGGTGTTAGAATCAACTATCCATTTAAGGTAGTAGTAGCAGCAAGTTAGTGGACAGTGTCCTGAGTGGACACTATGGCTCCTATATTCTACTAAGGATCTTACACACTGCAGAGCATTTTAAGAGCAGGGGTTTTGTAACCAACTTACCTGTATGTGAATCCTGCCTCTAATAGACTGCTTACTGTTTGTCCTTGGAAAGGTTTATGTTCCTCAGTTTCCCCAGAGAAAAACTGATAGGAATTGTACCTCCCTCATAGGTTGTACTAAGGAGTAAATTAAGACATCTCAAATGTCTGTTACATAGAAACTGCTCAATAAATGTTACCTGGACTTGTTATTCTTATTCCTGATAGAGAGTTGAGCAAAGCAATGATTAGAAAAATTCAGATTTGAATGTGTTGACCTGAATTCAAAACATGAGTTCTTTCAATTGTAGAAACGAAGATAAGCCATCCCTGAAAATAGAATTTGTTAATAGGAGACTATTTGATTTTTAAAATTTTGTATACACAAATCATAATGCATTTTTCTGATAAGTGGGTGTTCAGCCTTACTGCTGACATTACTTTTGAGACAATGTAATGCTCAGTTCATGTTGTCAAGATTGAAGGAGTAGTCTCTTCCGTAGTTTCTTTGCCACCTAATGATATTATATTATTCCTAAACATAGGTTGTTGCTTTTTGAGTTTATCTTGTTTGTATACATGTTTCTTGTTCTGCATATTTATTTACTGATTTTATTTTAGGTTGATGCTTCTACTCAGAAAAGTGAAGAAAGTGAGACATTTGATGTAGAACTCACTAAAAATGTCCAAGGATTAGGAATTACCATTGCTGGTTACATTGGAGATAAAAAATTAGGTAGTTTTAAACACTTTTTTTTTTTTTTTTTTTATTTTATTTATTTATCTGACAGAGAGAGAGACAGGAGAGAGGGAACACAAGTAGGGGGAGTGGGATAGGAATTGCCTCTGATATCTTTGTCTTGTGAAATATTGAATCAATATGGGGCACCTGGGTGGCTCAGTCGTTAAGCATCTGCCTTCGGCTCAGGTCGTGATCCCAGGTTCCTGGGATCGAGCCCCACATCGGGCTCCCTGCTTAGCGGGAAGCCTGCTTCGCCGTCTCCCACTCCCCCTGCTTGTGTTCCCTCTATTGCTGTCTCTCTCTCTCTGTCAAATAAATAAATAAAAAATCTTAAAAAAAATATTGAATCAATATTATGTATTTTCAGATTGTTGGATGAACTGATCAAAAACTTCCTTAGGAATAATTCAGTGTCAGAAACTCTGATACTGTGCTTGACAGACAAAAATCATTGTCTTATTCTCTAGACTAAGTTTCTATTGGTTTTGTTCCTGTGGCTTGTTGATTTATATTTATTCAAAATTAGGACTTTATATGTGGAGAATGAAGGATGGATAGTTTTTGAGTGTGCTTTGCAAAAACCCTGTTTCTAATCTTAGAACCTTCAGGAATCTTTGTAAAGAGCATTACAAAGAGCAGTGCTGTTGAACATGATGGAAGAATCCAAATTGGAGACCAAATTATAGCAGTAAGTAACACATTTAATAAGAGATTTGTTAATTTTCATGGTTGAGAAATGCATTCTCCTAGTTTACTCAGTTTTGAGAACTACAGTTAGCTCCATACTAATTTAAGCTTTTTGGTGATTTGAGGCTGTCATTACAATTACCCGTTTTGTTATTTTGTAGAAGAACATTGGATAGAAGCTTCACTGATCTCAGTTCTAAATAATAGAATAATTTCTGATATATCTGATTTCTGGTTGTAATGAATTTGTTACATTAATATACTTATACTTTAGTTGCAGACAATCTAAAGGTAAAGACCAGATATCATAATCTTTAGTGTACTTGAATCTGAATTTTGGGACGTGTGCTTTTTTTAATATCAGCAGAATGACACTGTTGTTGTTGGCTCCATGTCCAGGCCTCTTTTTAGCTCTAAGAATATACAGGAATAAAAGAAATAGATCTTAACTCCCTCTTAATCAGATCAAGCTCATCATTGTTATTGTAGTGACCTCAGTATGTTTTGAGCATATTGGTATTCAAGGCAGTGTACAGAAGAATACAACTTCACTTCAGTGTTCTCTGCAAACTGGGCTACCCTAACTACTCCTTGAAACACAGTCTGAGAGACCCTACACCAGGGGCTTCCTGGTCAGAGAAGTTTAGGAAGAACTTATAAGGTCTCTTAGGGATTCATAATGCACATTGAAAAATCTAAGACTCTGAGAAGTTATGCAGTACAGAAAAAGCTATTTTACTTTGGGTTTTCCTAAACTTTTGTAATCATGGGCTCTTTCTTTCCTCAAACATATATTAACATTTTTTGAAAGACATTTTGGAGAATACCAATTTATCTTAATATGTATTTATGTTTAATTAAGTCTCTGTTGTTTCCTTGGGATCTTATTATGATAAGAGTGTAGAATGTTAATATAAGATTCCATGTTCATAGTGGCTTTGTTCATAATAGGTGAGATGAGGAAGTAACCTAAATGTCCATCCATGGATGAATGGAAAAACAAACTGTGATGTGACATATATATATAATATATATTATATATATATAATATATACATATTATATATATACCTATATACACTAAAGTTTATGATATCTGGTCTTTACCTTTAGATTGCAACTCAAGTATAAGTATATATATATGAAATGGAATATTACTTAGTCTTATAAAGAAGGAAATTCTGTCATATCCTGCAACATGGTTGAACCTTAAGGACATTATTCTAAGTGAAATAAGTGAGTCACAAAAAGACAAGTACTGTATGTTTCCATTCGCATGAGGTACTTAGAGTAGTCAAACTCATAGAAATAAAAAGAATGGTTGTTGCAAGAGTCTGAGTGGAGGGGAACATGGGGAGCTGTTGTTTAATTGTTACAGAGTTTCAGTTTTGCAAGGTAAAAACATTCTAGAGATCTATTGTATGACACTGAATAAACTTAGCACTACTGAACTTTATAGGTAAAAATGGTTAAGATGTTAATCTTTTTGTTATGTGTTTTCTACCACAATTAAAAAAAAAAGAGGTGCCCTTATTTCTGCCTTTGCTTCTACATTACAACTTTGAGTCTTCTTGGGCTTAGTTCTGTAAAACTAAGTACACCTGTTCACCTCTTGAAACCTGTGAAGATCAAGTTGTGCTTGCCACTTAAGTTGGCTATAACCTGGGAATGAGTTTTAACCACTGTATCTTCATTTGTCATACAAGGAAAATTAACTACTTTTTTTTTTTTAATTTTGGAGAAGAAGAGTGGAGAGAGAGTACATAGATACAGACTCTAAATCCATATCCAATACTGAATTAAAAATTAAAAACATAGTGTACTTTTTTCCCTAAGATATATATTTTAATCCATTAAAAAAGTTTTTTAAAAAATCAGCTTTATTGAGATATACTTCACATAGCCTACAATTCACCCATTTAAAGGGTATAGTTCAGTAGCTTTTAGTATTTTCACAACTGTGCATCCATTATCACAGTCAATTTTAGAAACTTTTCATTACCTAAAAAGGAAACCCCATACCCAGTAGCAGTCTATCCCTAATTCTACCATCCTCCCAGCACTAGAGAACCACAGTCTTTTCTCTGTCTCTGTAGATTTGCCTACTCTGTATTTCATGTAAATGGAATTATACAATATGTGGTCCTTTGTGACTGGTTTATTTTGCCTAGCATGTTTTCAGGGTTCATCCATGTTGTAGCATGTATCAATTCTTCATTTCTTTTTATAGCTGAATGATATTTCTTTGTATGGATATACCACATTTTATTTACCCATTCATCAGCTGATGGACATTTGGGTTGTTTCCATTTTTTTGGCTGTTATGGATTATGTTGCCATGAACATTCATGTACAAGTTTTTGTGTGGATGTATGTTTTCATTTATCTTGGGTATATACTTAGGAATAGAATTGTTGGATCCTATGATAACTGCTTAGTAAGCTGCTTTCACATACAAAATTGGGAAAAGGAAACTTCCCTTGTATAATTTTTAGGCAGACCAAATGAGTAATTAATTAAAATACTTGGTATAACACTTGGCACGTAAGTACAGTTTAATTACGAAGCAGATCCTTATTAAAGGCCTGAAATAATTGCACATTTAAAAGCACAATAGCGGGGCACCTGGGTGGCTCAGTCATTAAGTGTTTGCCTTTGGCTCAGGTCATGATCCCGGGGTCCTGGGATTGAGCCCCGCATCGGGCTCCGTGCTCCGCGGGAAGCCTGCTTCTCTCTCTCCCACTCCCCCTGCTTGTGTTCCCTGTCTTGCTGTGTCTCTCTCTGTCAAAGAAATAAATAAAATCTTAAAAAATAAATAAAAGCACAATAGCTTCCCTCCAAACTTGTCATTATTTTCTTTTTTTTCCTTTTATTATGTTATGTTAATCACCATACATTACATCATTAGTTTTTGATGTAGTCTTCCATAACTCATTGTTTGCGTATAACACCCAGTGCTCCATTCAGTACGTGCCCTCTTTAGTACCCATCACCAGGCTAACCCATCCCCCCACCCCCCTCCCCTCTAGAACCCTCAGTTTGTTTCTCAGAGTCCATCGTCTCTCATGGTTCGTCTTCCCCTCCGATTTCCCCCCTTCATTTTTCCCTTCCTGCTATCTTCTTCTTCTTCTTCTTCTTTTTGAGGGAGACTGTTGAATCACAGACCCATACCTCTGAAACAAATAATACATTATATGTTAAAAAAAAAAAAAAGAACAAACTTGTCATTATTTTCATTAGGTGGAACCTCACATAGGGTTTTGCTTAGGTAAGATCAATAATAAAGGGAATTGTTGACTCGAAAGGAGAAACCCCCTTCTTCTGAAGGGTTTTCTTGTTTTCAATAAAGTCACTTGTCTTCACTGTCATCAGTGTTCTGAATTTTAACTTTTAGCAATATTCTCTTACTTCAAAGTTAGGGGCCTCTTAGACTCTAAGGAAACATCATGCAATGCTTTTGGCCATGCATTAAGGGTTTGTGAAATATCACCATCTTGTGGACTTCTGAGATACTTGTGGTAAAGTTCTTCACACTGGTTGCATTTTCACAACTGCAGTCTTTGTTTTTTCTGGTTTTGTTTTGGCAGCAGTTGTTTGGAGCTATACTCTGTTTTTATTTTGTAGTTGTCCAGGCAGTGAGAAGATTGAGAAACTATTTCTTGCTATTTTGAGGAGGTATTGTTTTATAACAATTAAACTTACTTTGTTATAAGATTCCTGTTTTACAAATTGTGCTCTGTTGACCCCTAGGGTTTCACTGTAGACATTACAGGGGACGGAATAGAGCGAATGATTCCATTTTATTCCCTTTGTATATTGGTATCCCATATAACAATTATTGTATTTTAAAAAGTTGACCAAACTGGTCATCAGATGAAATCATATATTCATTCTTCTTAGATTGATGTATAGAAATCCTTGCTAAAGCAGAATGGAATTATGATTGATTAAAAAAAAAAATATCGGGAGCCTGGGTGGCTCAGGTCGTTAAACGCCTGACTCTTGATTTCAGCTCAGGTCATGATCTCAAGGTCATGAGATCCAGCCCCTCGCCCCCTCTCCTTGCTCAGTGCAGAGTCTGCTTGAGATTCTCTCCCTCTCCCCTCGCCCCTCCCACTGCTCGCCCACGTGCATGCTCTCTCTCCCTCTCTCTCTAAAATAAATACATAAATAAAATCTTTAAAAAATTATTAAACAGGCTTGTAAGTAAGGAGAAGTGTCAAATGTTGCCTTTGATATTCTGACTTTGTTAATAGGCTCAAGTTCTCTCTTAATATCTATCTGTAAGCTGTGGTGGAGGGAGGGCTTGGCTGGCTAGATTGAGCGTACTCAGGAGCTGGGGTTTCCACTTGTTTCAATTAGTCATTCTCTGCTCCGTTATTGTTCCTGCTAATTGTGGTGTCTGCACTGAGCATTATGAGGTTAGTGGAACTTTCCTTGAGAGCACACAGGCAGCCTCCTGCCATTGCATCTAGTTCCAGAGCACTCTTGTCTGTGGTACCACTGGGTCTGAAGCCATGTCCTAACACTCTATCTGTGATCATAGCAGACCAGAGCTGCCCGGGACCCCGATTTGGGCTTTGGTGACCTTACGTCATACGTATGACAAATGTAATGATATTTGAACAGAAACTTCTCTCAAGAAGGCTTGAAATTTTCATGTTTATTAATCACTTCTTCAGTCTGTTAATAATACCAGCTTCTGAGTTTCTTCCCAGTGTAAAGTGCTGGGTACTGTAATTTTGGGAAAATAGGTACCATTATTCCCATATTACAGATGAAGATACTGAGAAATTGGAATTGAAATCCAGTTTTAAAAGTTCATGGTTATTCCCTTATACCAGGTTCTTCTGTGCTGGTCCCATCTCTGACATTTGGGTAAGGAGTATGTTTTTAAATTCAGGCCATCAAATTTTGAAAATAAAGGAAGAATGCAGTTTTTAAAAATGTATTTGAACTTTACTGGTATTAAATTGACAAAATCATATGCATTTGAGTTTTTAAAATTAAATTGGATTTTTCCAAATCAAAACCCCAATGAGATACCACCTCATACCAGTCAGAATGGCTAAAATTAACAAGTCGGGAAATGACAGATGTTGGCGGGGATGCGGAGAAAGGGGAACCTTCCTACACTGTTGGTGGGAATGCAAGCTGGTGCAGCCACTCTGGAAAACAGTATGGAGGTTCCTCAAAAAGTTGAAAA